GGAGGAAGCATTTAGGAACTAGAGAAAAGTTGTATGTTTCATCATTGCTACATTGCACCCTGACTGGCTCGTCTCCTCCCTACGACCTTCCATAAGGGGATATCCAAAAATCATATTGTGTGCTCACTTCCCTGATACAATCGCTGAAGACAAATGGGAGCATAAGCAAATATGGTGAAAAAAGCTGATGGTGCCCGGCTATCAAAAGATATAGCATCTGGGGTCTTCAAGGCTTGAAGATAAACAAGCAGCCATCTAGCTCAGAAGCAACAAAGCCCACATGGAAGAAGCACACCAGCCTGTGCAATCAGGAGGTGTCGAAGGGATCAGGTATCAGGCATCATCAGAACAAAAAAAAATCATTTCATTGTGAATGAGGGGGAGTGTGGAGTGGAGACCCAAAGACCATCTGTAGGCAATTGGACATATAGATAGTTCTTAAACAAACATAATGCTCTCAAGGCAGGGCTTTTTAACTAGCTAAAAGGAGCCTTGGTGGTGCCATGGTTACAGTTGGACTGAGATCTGCCTGGTTGCCAATTCTAAACCACCAACATGTCTGTAGAAGAAAGACTGGGCTTTCTACTCCTGTAAACAGTTATAGTCTCAAAAACCTCAGGGGGTTGCTCTGAGTCAGCATTGACTCAGTAGCAGTGAGGTTTTTTTAGTTTAAGCTAAGCTTGTCATGCTAACTATTGTTCACAGTTTGGTCTTGTGAGTGCTTTGTAATTGAAGTGTTTCATTCAGAAAATGACATACTTTAAGATTCCAATATTTTTTAAAAGATTTCATATTTTGAAATTTGCTGAGATTTGTTTTATGGGCTAGTATATAATATTTCTTGGTGAAAGTTCCAAGTGCTCATGAACAATAACTTAGTATAAGTGTTACTAAAGAGTTTCCTAGATTTTAATTAACTCGAAGTGGTAAATGTTGTCAATTGACATCAAGTTGATTCTGACTCATGTCAGCCTCCTTTGCACAAGAGTACAACTGTTCCAAAATGGGAGGAGTGATGAGAGGAGGGTAGGGGAAGTTGGGGGGAGGAGGGAAGGAAGGAGCAACTGATTGCAATGATTGACACATAATTCCCATCCCCCAGGGGGGATGAACAACAGAAACGTGGGTGAAGGGAGACAGAAGTTGGTGTGAGATATGAAAACAATAATAACTTATAATTTATCAAGGGGTCTCAAGGTTGGAGGTGGAGGACAGGAGCTGATACCAAGGGCTCAAGGCAAATGTTTAGAAAATGATGCTGGCAACATATGTACAAATATGCTTGATACAATTGATGTATACGGATTGTTAAGACCTGTAAAAGCCCCCAATAAATGATTTTTAAATTTATTGAGATATATATATATATATATATATATATCCCCACATATGTATGAGGATGCCTCGAAAAGTTACTGGAAAATGAAAAGATAATGGAATTTTTCCACAAACTTCTTCAAGTCTCGTGTTTTTTTCGGAATATATTCAGTAGCAATTAAAATATGTTTAAATATTTTCAAAAAGAGTACAACTGTTCCATAGGATTTTCAAAGCAGATCACCAGGCCTGTCATCCAAGGCATTGCTGGGTGGGTGAAAATCACCGATATTTTGACTACTAGTTCAGCACTGAATCCTTCACGCTACCTGAAAAACTCAAATTGGTAAATAATGTTCTTCAAATAGTCTCTATTCTTAATTCTTTCAAGAACGAAAACAGGGATATGAAAATACCCAGCTATAATTATGAATTTTTCTAGTTCTCCCTTAAATACTATCATTTATTGGTTTGCATATTTTGAAGTTTTTATTAGTTGCATACCTATTTTCAACTTTTATCATTTTTTGTGGTAAATCCTAGTAAAATA